ATTAATTAATTTCTCAGAACCTATCAGAGCTATCGAAAGTGATGTATATACTGTTTATGGAGAATTTTATTTTATTTCATTTCACGTATCTCGTATTACGAACATTCAATTGGTTCGTAGGATATACGTCATTAAGTGAAACCAATTTTTTTAAGCTGAATGATGGTAAATTGCAAATATCTCGAAAAGATATCCATAGAAAAAAAATTTCGGTTTTCGGAATCACCGAGCAATTCTACATAGGAATAGAATAGTGACATCCATAATCGAAAAATATAGGCTGCTTCCACCATTTCCCCAATCCACGTGCCATAACGACTTGGACATAGTTCGCGGGCTTTCTTACGAAATCTCCCGGCTGATCATACTCGAAAGACTCCGCGACTTTCATCTTATCGAATGAGAGAACGCAAATTTTTTCGTCTTTCGAAAGATTGGACCTGTGTTGCATACTCTCGATTGATGCGGCAATAATACCTTCGCTTACATCTTTTTTTCGGTATCAGAGCTGCAGTGTGGACACATGTGGAAGTGGAAAGCCTTTTTCATACATATGATCGTACACTCTGGGTCCTGCCGCGTGCAAAAATATAGCATTTGAAATGTCTTTCCACGACCATTTCACGTTTCCAGCTATTATGAATAAATGGAGATTATCATTCAAGACTTAAAGACGAATGGTGAAACACACTCATCATTTTGCGAATTTGATTTTCGGTGAATATCTTTTTAACACAACCCCCGACGATGTTCGCTACTTCCAGGTCTTTTTTCAAAGCATGATTCTCGCGTTTTAATCTCTTAATCTCTTTGTTTAGTTCAGAAATTTCGTAGTCCTTGTTGGATTCGATAATCACATAGCTGAAAGAATGTATAGTAATAAAATGGAACTATTCCGAGCATTCTCTTTGTTTATAAGCACATACTCTGTCTGTGTTTGGCAGTCTTTGACAGACACTGCAGCTCTGTGAACCATAGAATTAGGGAAGCTATTTTTTTAAATTAAAAACTATGTAAGATAAAATATGTAAACGTGTGCAATCAAACGTACATACTAAAGGTGTTCTTACACGATATGTATTTGCATCTGTAAATGTGACTTTTTCAATACATATGTAATTGCGTATGTCTGTCAAATTCACAGTCTTTATTTAACTTTTTAAAAATACGATCTTTGAAAACGAAATAAGTAACCTTAGATGATTCTATCTGTGTGTCAGATGAAAATAGAAACATTTCTATTTCGTATGTACGTGCATATGCTTTGTACAGAAACAAATCTAATTTGCCTTTACATGATATGTTGGCATTTCCATATGTAAAAAGTGGCATGCACACATGCAAATACATATCGTGTAAGAACACCTTTAACTGGCTCGTTCACATACAATTGCTGAGCGCTATTATTAAAGGTTTCACTCGAAGGACTAATGAAATAAAACTGCTGAGCGCTATTATTCATAGTTTCACTGGAAGGACTAATGAAATATGGGAGACGAGAGCTACATTTTAGTATTTTTAATTAGTGTTAAAATTTCACACATACAGTTCTTGCAAAAAAACCCCAGAATCTATATTACTAACTATGTAAAGCTTGGGAATTCGCAAACCAGAAATCCGTCCTATAATAAAAATTATGTTGTTAGTTTGGGGAATGTTTAGTTATTTTTATATATGTTAACACATTTCCAATTGGCTCACGCGTTTGGGCACGCTAAGTGAAAATCAAAATAAAATTAACCATCCCCTAATTTTCTTAAAACTCGCTTAATGATCTTACTCTGTTTGCACACAGCTCGTATCCTTCAGAAAACTGTCGCCAGCAGTGGGGAAAATATTGGCGATCTCAGCAGGCAAAGGTGGAGGATGTAGGACTGCTTCCGGCAACAAATGTGCCCTCTTCCCGACGTAAATAATGTTGGAATTCGAGATGTGATCACCACATATAACGTCACTTGGCTTAAACTGCTTGTGGCAAACTCTGCTACACGACACCCGCGTTAGTTCCTCGCGTGGAACTTGGAAAAACGGCCCTTGTCCCCGCTTGACCCGCTTAGTGCACAATGCACACTTTCCCATTTTTTCTTTGAATAATTTTTATTTTCGAATCACAAAATTTAATTACACAAATTATTTTTCATCAATCACAATAAAAATTTGACTTGCGAAAATAAACAAACAGAATGTAAACAAAACTATTCATTACGACAATCACGCACCAAACAGCTCAATTCGCCTTGAATCAGCCATTTTTACAAAAAGAGTTGCCACATGATAAAAAAATGAAATTCACATTATTTTTAAGTTAAATCAATTATAACAGTATGAGTATCGATCGAAATGGTTTTGAAAAGGCTTTATTTCTTAATTGTATATAGGAGGGTTGCCACCTGTTTCAAAAAGCAAGTTCGGCTGAAATAAAAGCAAAAAATTGAAATGTATATCCTGATATGGATGTCCAACGAGAGTTTGTGATTTGAAAATATTTTTCAGAGGGTTGCCACCTTGTCACTAAGTTAGATTCAATATAAGCAATAGGTTAAATAAATTACTTCAATGTGAATATAAAGCAAAATTGCTTAGAAGAAACTTTATTTCCAAACTGCATGTAGGAGTGTTGCCACCTGATTTTATAATTAAATTCAAATTGAATTGAGAGGATTAGATAATTTAAATATGTATCACAATACAAGTGTCAGACGAAAAAGGTTTAACGAGGTTTTGGTTTAAAAATAATTTGAACAGGATTGCCATCTGTTTGAAAAGTCGAACTAAATTAAATTATATGAAATACTGAAATATTTGCGTCAATCAAAAGAGTATAAAAAAAATCTAGTTTCTGCTTCTATAACATTAAGGAGGGTTTCCACCTGTGTAAAAAGTTAAACTCAAATTATTTAATAAGTCAAATGAATTATTAAAGTATGGGCATAAATTGGCATTCGTTAAAAATGTTTTTTTCTTAATTTTATTTAAGAGGGTTGCCATATGCGTTAGAAATTAAATTTAACTTGAATTAAGGGAATTAGATATACAATTTAATTATGTATCGCAATATGTGTGTCAGTCGAAAAAGGTTTACCTAGGTTTTGGTTTTAAAATATTTTGAATAAGGTTTCCACCTGTTTTAAAATAAGAATTTAATTATAGCATGCATAAGTTTAATGAAATATTAAAACATGACCTGAAACGGAGGTGGTAAGATATCCTTAGTTTAAATATTAATAATATTAAAGAGGGTTGTCACCTGTTTAAAAAGCTAAACTGAAATTATTTAATAAGTGAATGCAATTATTAAAAATATGGGTATCAAATGAAATGGGTCTAAAAAGGCTTTATTTCTGAGCTGTATTTAGGAGCGTTTTCACGTATTTAAAAATAAAGTTTAACTTAATTCATCAAGCACATGAAATATGTAGGTATCACAATATCAGACGCAAGCTGAAGGTAATGTGGATCTGCTTCTCTATTGCTAAGTATTAACATTTTGCAATTCATATTGATTTAATAAATTCAATTCAATACAATTTAAAGGAATATTTAATGTACCGTTTTTACTTGAATGTGATCTTAATAATATCACGTATTCTACTTTTAAGTTTAGCGGCTGCAGGTCAAGACGAAGGCGCTGGACTGATCCTTTTTCTGAGTTTTATACAAAGTTTTGTGTTATAATTTTTTTTTTTGTTGGAATGAAAAGTTGAAAAAGATTACACACATTGTGAAAAATTTCATGTGCCAATAGTTGAGTGCGGCACTGTATATTACATTGAAATATTAATAAATATTTATAGCTAAGCTTACAAGAATTAAATATTGCGCCAGAAATGCAAAAACTGCTATTCTGAATTTTTAGTTACTAAAAGAATCACTGATGTTATTTCTTATGTATCTCGCAATCTCCATATTGCGCGTCGGCGTAATAGTATGATCTTCGTGAACTTCAGGAAAATTTACCTCGACTTCGGCTTCGGGTATTTCGGGTACATTCGCTCTGAAATGAATGCAGATGTTGTGTAAGCAACATGTAACATTAACAATTTGTGCTTCTTTCTCTGGCGAGTAGTGTAGTTCTCGAGCACCAAGGATACATATCCACCTGTTTTTTAAAACCCCGTTTGTCCTCTCAATTATGTTGCGACATCCTTGGCCTGGCATCCGATAAGGAGTGATAAGCCATGGTTCCAACGGATATCCAGCATCACCTTAATACATGTAATTGTAAACGCATGGGCTACAGAACTGCATACCCGAAAATTTTATAAATATTCTGATTAAAAATTTAGAAAGTTTGATTACTTTTTTTTGCAATTTTTGCAAACTTCGAAGCTTTTATTTTTGTGGTTTCTGGTACAGATTGAATTATATTTTAAATGAAAATTATTAAAATTAAAAAAATAAACATAATTTGCAAGCAATATCATTTTGAATTCCGTTTCTAATTAGTTGAAGGCAGGTGTACATATGTATCTGTGTTCATATGGAACAGTAGCTTATGTCGGGAAGCTGGCTTTAGTATAATGCAGCATTCGTAGCATACGATTGGAGGTTTTTTCCATATAAAAAAACTTTTGATCGAGTGTTATATGATAAGATATGATGATTATACCCTTCACAAAAAAAAACCTCTAAAATATCAACGGTAATTTTTAACGACTTGAGACTTCCCCTTTCTTAGACTACAATTGAATGGGCTACAGAACTGCATACCCGAAAATTTTCTAAATATTCTGATTAAAAATTTGGAAATTTTGATGAAAATTTTTTGAAGTTTGATTAATTTTTTTTTGCAATTTTTGCAAGCTTTGAAACTTATATTATTGTATTTCTGTTACAGATTGAATTATATTTTAAATGAAAATTATTAAAAATAAAAGAATAACCGCAATTTGCAAACAATATTATTTTGAATTTCATTTCTAATTAGTTGAACGCAGGTGTATGTATATATAAAAGCTTAACGCTCTGACATTAAAAATTTTTACAGTGCTAAATTTTACCTTTTAATTAGAAATTTCTTGGATGAATCGAAAATTCGGGTCAAAATGTGAACGTAAGTCGCTAACGTTCCAAATTAGCGAGTCATGACTAGCACCCGGATGAGAAGAATCGACGTAACGAATTTAATTCATAGTCCTGTAATTAAAAGTAATAATTTAAAATTTCCACATAAACGCTTTAAGAACGTACCAGCATAACATTCTAACTGTAATATCCTTTTCTGTTGTAGTACAGGTGAGTATTTTCGAATGGTGCAATTATTTTAACGTGTGTTCCATCAACACAATCGACAACAGCTGGAATTTTATGTTTAACATAAAAAGCAGTGCAATTTTGCTTTTTTCTTCCGCTGTCACTGGAAACTGTACCCACCGTGGGCACAGATATGTCTCAAATATACGTAGCACGTCGGTGAGTGCTTTGCAGAAACTATACTGCGCTAGTCCAACGTCGTGGTCTTTTCCCACACCTGTCGGGTAACCACCTTCCGAAAAAAAGCACAAACAGGGGCTCAACTTCACTATCGGTGTAACAGCAAACTGCTTCCTACCTGGTTGTGTATGTGTCGTTACCACTTGTAACAAGTATTCAAACGCCAGTTTATTCAACCTGAAGTACTTTTCAAATCTACGTATAGAAGTAGAAAACAAAATATTTAGCTGTTTTAACACGTATTTTTTAACTCCTTTACTAACAAATGTTGAGGCAACTCCAAGGGGTTCATCAAGTCGCGGAGTTTCCTCCTCGCCACTCGTTGCGCATTGGTTTGTTGCCTTTCTTCTTCATTAATTTCTCTCACTAACATACTTAACGCTAAGATGTTCATTTTTAAGTTTCTGATTCAACCACAATTTTTAAAGTTTTGCCAAAACATGCAAAATCACAATGGTAAATTAACGAAAAACTCTCAACAACAAGCAAACAGCTGATTTCGAAAGATAGAAAGAGAAAAAATCCTACTCCTAAAAAATCCCTCTCCGAGACAGTTTAGAATTGGAGGAATATTTCTCAGACGATTTTAAAATTCGCAAAGGAAAAATTCCGCGGGAATATTTAGGATTGGGCTGATTATGTCTCAACTCCCTACGCTAATTTTGAACCAAATCGGACCATAAATACGGGTTTTAAAAATATTTCGACCCTGGCGCCATCTAGCGAGATCATTTTTCACACAAATGTTTCTGCCTACATAAGCAGTGTAACTCCCAAACATGTCTCTATAGCCCAAAATACAATAGCGCAGTGGCAGTGGCAGCGACAGCTTTTAAAATCAGCAGTTACTGCTAAAATTGGCAGTCACTGCCGCAGCAGCGTTGTCAGTGACTGGCTTTTTTGACATTACCTATTGTTTGTTTACATTTTTGTTGTTGCCTTTTAGGCTTCAGAGACATAAACAGAAGTTGGCTGCGTTTCAGTTATGCCAAATTCAACATGCGAAGTTTGCTGCCATGAAGGCAGTGGCAGTGAATTTAGAATTTGGGCTAATCTGAGCAGTACTGCTAGCTGCCACTGCTGTATTGTGAGTCGCATCATTGGACACCATACTTTCTAAAAACAGCTGATTTCGAAAAACTGCCGCTGCCACTGTCACGGCGTTATTGTATTTTGGGCTTATGGTTTCCTCTGCCCTGCTGATTTCAAATCATCAAAGTGCAGCATTCGAAGCTGGCAACGATATTTTCGAGTTCACCCGGGTTTAGTGATAGAAATTTTTTCGTATTCGTAGCATGCATTCGAATTCGTAGATTCAGTGATAGGCCTGAGTAAGAAATTACAGGAAATCGTTCCCGAACACGAAAATTTTCTCATTGGGAACACTTTTGAGAAAATAAGAGGGCAACTCTTCCCCGTCAGAAGTTACAGGATTTTGTCCGAAGCTTTTCTTCTGGAAAATTCATGATGTGTCTGTCGTAATATTTTAATTATTTATTAAGAATTAAAAACCTTTTATTCCAAATGTGAAAGCCAGAATAATGAAAATTTTATTTTCCAAAAGAACAATATTCCAAAGAACATTCTATTTAAAACAAAGAACTTCATTTAACCATAAACAAGTATTTCAAATATAAAGTGTATTCATACATAATATCAAATAAAAAACCACCACAAATACTCCCCCTCACAAATTATTTTAAAATATTTAAATTAATCAAAGTAAAGAAAAAGTAACTTGTTTGTTCCGTCTTGCACGTGTATTTGTGTTCTGTATTGTGCTTTGATATGCATGTTTGATTCGGTCAATTGCTACATTTTCGGATTCACCATTTCTAAGAATTTAAAAAAAAAATTCGAATTTTTCTCAATGACTTCAAAAGGTCCTTCATAAGGATCATTTAAATTTGATTTAACTTTAATAGTTCGAAGTAGAAGATATCTAAATATTTTCAATTCATTTGGCATAAAACATTTACCAGGACTGTTATGATGAGATAAATTTGAACGTGAATTTCTGAAATAAATTCTTAATCTTGCTAAAAATTCTGTATTATTAAAATCTTTTTGAGATTCAACAACAAACTCTCCAGGTAACCGTAAATGTTGTCCATAGACTATTTCCGAGGGGTTGCTCCCAAATCTTCTTTAAAACAGGAACGTAAACCCAACGAAACTATTGAAAGTTTATCTGACCAACTATCAGAATTACCACTCGCTAGAATTGAAGCTTTTAGCTGTCGATGCAAACACTATCATGCCATTTGCCTGGAGATGATATGTATTAGTTGTGATTAATTCACTTCCAATATATTTTGATAGTTCACGAAAAATATTTGAGGTAAATTGAACACCTTGATCACTTGATATATACGTCGGTACTCCAAAACGAGCCCCAACCGCCAAACAGGCGTAAGCGACAATATTGTTATGCGTTATATAAGTAAACATGAACATAATAAAATATTTTATACTTCAATACCACTAATTAGCGCTATTTTTACAATTCGCAGTGATCTTAAAAATATTTGTAATGAAATATGTACCTTATGAGTTATATGGAAACTATGTTATATGCAAAAATATATTCCGATTTACTTCAATTAACTGGTATAAAATATTAAATATATGGATCTAATTTTAATAATAATATTTATTACTTTCATCTACATTGCTTTTAATGTACGTTTTCACGAGTTGTTGTAGTTTTCTTCAATTGTCTCTGGCAGACTATACATTTCTACCCTATTATAGGTTTATATTTTAATAAAATGGGATCAATTACTGAAGAATATGTAAACCTCAATCAAACTATAGTACTGAATGTTTGACAAACAATTATTTAAATCAAATGATCAATACTGAACGCACTCGAAGCGAATTTTGGAACACGATATAAAATATTATGCATATTAAGACTAAGGGCCAGTTCAAACTTGGATTAAGTAAACTGAGTTTAAATCGAACAGCTTATGTTTTAACCTTCAGAAGACACACTGGGGTGTAAGACACCCCAGTGCAAAGCCTATTTTTGATAAACTTTTTCGTTATGTCAATAAAAGCTAACCATGCAATTATATGATCTTGTACCTTTGAAAAATTCAATAAGACATTTCATTTTAAATTTATTTTATCTAAATATTTCCAGCGTAATATATGCAAAAAAAGCTTAAGCTGTGTGTTTTAAAAGCAACATTTCAATTGGGGTGCAATTTACCCCAGTGTGTCGTTCACGTCAAATAAAAAAGGTGTGTCCTCCGAAGGTTAATATAATATGATTAATTACTGAAGAATATATTAATTCAAGAAGGGTGTGTAGTGATCCTCTGGTTTAAGACACTTACTGGCAAACCTTTCATAGTTTGCCCAGACCTAACAGATATCACGATATAGGAAGTGGCTTTATTTGAAAAAATTAGTGGTATAGAACCATATTATTGCAGCAGTAACACTAATCCCGATATTTTAAAACATCTTTTCATTAGAATCGGAACATATTTTTCTTTAAGAATTTTCAATAAAGAGGCAAACATGCTAAATTTCTATGTAAGTATTTATCACAGGTAGTACGTATTCCTCGACACCGGAATTTAATCTTCTTCAGTTGGAAGTTTTTACTTAAAATCTTTAAATATGTATCTTGATATTTTTTTTTTTTGGTAGAATGCGTACTAGTTTTTCTAGCCTATTTTAAAAAGGGAGGACAGTCGGTTCTACGTAACCGGAACGACCAGAATGAGCATTGAAGTAGGTTGGATTTTTTTGCATAAAATTACTTGTTATTTTAGAGATACAGTTTCGCTACTCTTTAGAGATTCTTCGACATAGTTACTTGTTCAGATTTCTCGGGATTTGTGTTATTCATTATTTTTCTTATTAGTCATTTATAGGTGTAGGACTTCCTGTGGGTGCTTTAAGATCCACTTTGTAAATATGTACATATAAAAACAATTGCCATATTTTATTTTATTTTAAATTATGAATTTATTTATTCGTGCAATTTTTATGTTTAATAGTTTTGAGATCATTTTCTGGTTTTGTTGTATTCTTTTATTGCAAGCCTTAAACTTTTTTACTTTAATATGTAATGGTGAAGATATGCCTCCTGCCTTTGTCCAGCACTTTATCTAAGTGCGAGAAATTTAGCAAATGCACGTAAAGGCAGAGTATACCTATAGGTATGCGGCTGTGTTGTCGCGATTCTCCAAAATCTTGTCAAAGGAGAATACATATTGGTGACTATAACAGAATACCATTTCAGCCACTGGCCACTCAACTGAAGTTCGGTTGCCATCCGTAATCGACCCATAAAATCGAATTGAATATGCCTTCACGTTCTGCAGCCTGATAAATATTTTGTAAATGTGTGCTCTGTCCGCTAACGGATTCTAGCCATGCCTAAAATATCGTATGTGAAGCCTCCGTCTGACTAACGATCGTCAAAGGCATGCCAGAAGAGGTTCCATCAGCCTACATAGTTTTACGGCCATCATCTTCTTCGAGTGGTTTCTTCGATTCGACTGATAGAAATTATAGGAGTTATTGTAACAGCTAATCTGTCATAGATTTTTTGGAACACTTGACGAGGTACTGCATCACATGCTTTAGTTGAAATAGATGAAGTGTCGGCAAGCTGTTGGAATGCCGAGGAGATGGCGTTTGTCCAGATATAGAAATCATTTCACCGACGGCTTTGAGCAGTACTGCTGGTATATATTTAACAAGAACAGCAGTATTTGTGGCGTTTTGTTCTGCAGTAATAGCCTGCAATGAAGACATATCCTATAATGTCGACGAACAAAGATATAAAATTGAAAATGACTAACCTTATTCAGAATTGCTAATCGATGCTTTAGCTCAGTGGTGCACAGCGTTGGCAGAGCTCCCAATACAAGCGTAATATTTTTGTATCTGAATGTGTGTACTCAGCAAAACAGCTCGCGCTTGTGATGCTTACAGCATGAAGTACAAACGCAAACTGACCGGCTGCTACCCTGCAAAAATCGTTGGACCATGTAGTCTATTTGTGGTACGTTGGAGTATTACAAAAGTGTTCCTCTGTCATGCTGTAGCGGACCAACTCGTTTCTCTGTGCCAGTTTATTGTTTGTTACCCGATCACTGCTCGTGTTTTAACGAAATGTGATTGAAGTTGAGCATTTGAAAGCACATTTACATTTCTGGCTGTAGCTGAACGTGTAGAAATGCTCGCTGTTAGTTGTTAGCTCCCAGCATTTTCGGGTTCGAATGCCGTCAGAGGCAACATGTAATTTTTAATTTTTGTTTTTGGTTTTTATTAATTTCGAAAAGGCATCTGAGAAGTGAAGAACAAAAGCGTGTACAAACGAAAAAATATAACAACAATGCCATTGTTAATATGTTGGAGTAGTTTTGTGCTACTCTGATGTAATGCAGGGATGGAGTACATGGTCCTGCCCTAGGACATCGCAATGTTAATTGGATCATATTTTTTATATGAAATGTGGTTAATTTTGGAATACTCCTTGGTCCTTTGGGAGTACTCTTTACACGCATGCATGGAATAGTCGCGATTTTTGTAGGGTAGGGATAAATCGATACAAGTAAATCCAAGTACATACTCGATACTTTTCTCAATTTACCAAGTATTTTTGTACTCGATACTTTTTACTGCGATGCAAGTAGGTATCGAAAAAAAGTACTTGTATCGGAAGCGCAAAACTTATGCTTCAGCATCTTCTTTGAAAAGCAACCCATTAGAGGAATTGGAAGATATGCGCAATACATTTCCGCAGCTATATAAGCAAGCCCGTTTATACAGTGTTGCCGTTGTGCGACTAAAGGGGCAATTTGACCATTTTTAAGCGCCAATATCNGGGTAGGGATAAATCGATACAAGTAAATCCAAGTACATACTCGATACTTTTCTCAATTTACCAAGTATTTTTGTACTCGATACTTTTTACTGCGATGCAAGTAGGTATCGAAAAAAAGTACTTGTATCGGAAGCGCAAAACTTATGCTTCAGCATCTTCTTTGAAAAGCAACCCATTAGA